TGCAACTGGGAGGGCGTTTGCCTTGCACTCGGCCAACCTGAGTTCTAATCCCCAGCATCCCTGATGGTCCTCCAAGCACTGCCAGGAGTGATTCCTGAGTGCAGAGCCAGGAGGAACCCCTGAGCATCGCTGGGTGTGACCTCCTCACCAAAAAAAGCCTTTCAGGTCCCAGATGGGGCACCATCACGTCCTCAGGGCCCCAGTGTCCGTCTGGCAGGAGAAAATAGGACCCTAGAGAGCAGTGTGGACTGTAGGGTTGCTGCCTTCAGGAACCCCGGCTCGCTGGAGGAAAGAGCCCGGCAGGTGGGCAAAATGGCCATGGGGTGGGGGGGACTCAGGGTGTAGCCCGCCGGAGCCAGGCCAAGTCACAGCACTCTCGTTCTTCTGCGACTTCTCTCTGGTCTGTGGGGGAATGAGCAGGTCTGGGGGTGCGGCTGGGGGCGGGCAGCAGAGCGCAGACCCCAGGCCAGGCCTCTGGCCCTTGCCAGCCTCCATGACCCGCGGATTCCAGAGGCCCAGAGCTGCCATTCTCTCTGACACCCACACCCGGAGCTGGCTCCTCCCTGCCCGGCTGGCACTGGGAGAGGACGTGGGCCCACAGCGCAGGGGACTGTGGCCAGGGTCTGGGCAGGAGTCTCTGGGGGCACCAGAGGGACGAGGCCGCTCAGCGGATCACAGTGGCCAAACTCTGGGCACGGAGGCAGGGAGGAGGCTCCTCCCCACACACAGGCCCGAGGACCCTTCGTGATCTCCGAATAAGGTAGGGGTGTGTGTGTGTATATGTGTGAGTCTGTGTGAGTTTGTGTGTGTGTGTGTGAGTGTGTGTGTGTGAGAGAGAGAGAGAGAGAGAGAGAGATGGGACGGGATAGGACAGACCCACTAATGGGGGGGTGAGGAGTGAGACTCTGGCGACAAAATAAACACATCTCAGCAGCTCTGCCCCTGTGGGGGGCTCCGTGGGCAGTGGGGGGACAGGGCGAATTTTCCAGGCCTGGGAACAAGGAGCCCAGCCAAGGTGGCGGCATCTCAACAGGGCTGACCGCCCTCCCCCCAGCTCCTGGCTTTAAGGACCCTCCTTCCCCCACCCCAGCGTCACGCAAAGACCTGCTGGGTTGAAGCAAAAGACAAGGCTTCATCCTGGGGTGGGCACCAGCTGGCACTCTGGGGGGCCTGAAGCCCCCCTCGGGGACCGTCTCAGCCACACTGGCTGGCTACCAGCCAGAACCCCCTCACCCCCCATCCATCTCCATCCTGCTGCTTTGTGCCCTGAGCTGAGCCCCTCCAGCCTCAGCCCTGCATGTCCCTAGCAGCGCTGCCCCCCTCCGCTGTCCCCTGCTGCCTGACCCCTGTGACATTCTGCCCAGAATGCTGGGCACAGACCCGACATGTCCACCTCCTCCCCACAACATCAAGACCTTCCGTTCCTTCTGGAAGGACAGAGGTTCTGGGGGAACGCTTCCAACAACCACCACCTTGGGACCACCACAGAGCCTCCACAGGGAGAGGGGTTGAGCCATTAAGTTCTTACCCACAGGATGCTAACAGGGCAGCAGAGCCTGTGTGTGTGTGTGTGTGCGTGTGTGTGTGTGTGTGTGTGTGTATGAGCACGCGCCCATGCAGGGGGTACAATATATATGTCCAGAAGGGACATAGGCACCTCACTCTGACAGCCTAGACCAGCATGCCTGGCCAGAGGGAAGGGGGGTTACCCCAGTTCTTGCTCCTGACACCTGTGGGGCTCTGTCTTGGCAGCCCCCCTGGGACAATGCAGGATGCGGATGGAGCACTGTGAGATGCAACCACACGGGGCCCCGGAGCCGGGCGCTTCTTTCTCCCGCAGCCACCTGCCGGGGCCCTCTGCCCGCCCCTCGACGTCCCCCCTCATTCCTGTGCTCAGGAAGACCATCCATCTGGAAGCGTTCCCCCAGAATCATGTCCCACCCACTCCCAGCCGGCCGGGTCTGGGGGCTGGAGCCCACAGTGAGAGGGGCGGCACCCTGGGGGCCCGAAAGTTCAGCTCCGTCTCCCTGACCCTCCACCCCAGCCGGCCCTGGGCCCTGAACCCCCACCTGGGCAGGGAGGCCACCCCCCAGGGGGGACGGAGGGCACCCCTGTTGGGCTGGACCCCAGCGACCCTCACCCAGGGGGGCAGGGGGCACCCAGGGAGCCCGAAGAGCTCTTGGCTGCCCACGCCCAGCAGGAACCCCACGGCAGACAGGCCCGTGGTGAGCTCCTGCCTCAGTCTCCCCTTCCGGGCGCATCTGGGCCGGACCCCTGCAGGCCCTGGGTGCTCAAGCTCTGGAGGTCAGGGCCCCTCTCTGCTGCCTGCAACCCCAGAACCTGCCAGAGCTTCCCCGGGCCGAGGCCAGCTGGGGGCCAGGGCTCTCCCGAGGCCTCGGCTGCTTCTCCAAAGGGGTCCACCGGGCGGCCCTGCCGTGGGGCCAGGGATAAGCATGGCTTTGGACACGGCACGGTCGGGCGTGGCCAGATTCTCAGCCATTCGGGCCAGCAACAGACCCAACAGGGCTGTCAGCTCACCCACTCCCAGCACCTGCAGAGGGGACCCCGGCACAGAGGCCCCCATGCCCGAGACCAAGGGGGGCAGCGCCACGAACTTGCCCATGAGGGGCACAGCAGGGCCTGACGTGGCCCTGGGTCCCATCGCCCCGGCGCCAGACAAGCTGGGGAAAGCCGGAGCACTGGGTGCCACACACACGGGCAGCAGCTACGTGGACCGGGCAGTGCCTGGCACAGCCGACCCAGCCCCACAGGACACAGCAGGGGCTGCCCTTGCTCTGAGCAGGCTGGGCCGGGCGCCGGGTTTGGTTGTGCCTGTCACCCCAGGTCCAGCCACTGGGGAGTCCCCCCAGGGCACTGACCCGGCCCCAAGGCACTCGGCCGCCTCCCCCCAGAAGCTGGGCACGAGCACAGCCCTGGGACTCGCATCAGCAGAGCCTGCAGTGGACCCAGAGCTCAAGCTCGCTGCACTGGACCCAAGCAGAGAAATGGCAGGTAAAAGGCCCCGGGCTTGGGGGCTGGGCGGGTGGGGGTCCTGGGGCTTGGTCAGGCTTGGTTGTAAACGGGGATGCTCTGAGGTCAGAGTTGAAGGCACTGTGTGGTTGGGGATGCAGGGGTGAGTTGGGGGCGTGAAACAGGCCGCGGCCGGAGCTGGGTCCAGCCTGCTGTGAGGGGCTTGCCGGCAGCGACCCAAAGTCTCTGGGGGTCTCCTGCAATTTGGTCCACTTCCTGCAGTGTTTCCTCAGTTTGTGCTACGGTTCCCTAAACATCTGAAATAATCAGCTGGTTCTAGGGGAGTCCAACTTCGATGGCTTCCCCATGAAACACAGTCCCCCTGCAGTCATGGGGTGGGGTGGGGATACGGATGGGGGGGGCTTCCTTGATGTTCCTCTCTTGAATGACTTCACCTGTGACCTCTGGCCTCTACCCCCCTCAACCACCCCCTTCAACCTGACCTTTTCAGGTCTGCCCCCACCCCTGAGGCTGAGAGGTGAGTGGGTGCCTCATACACAGGGATATGGTACCCCAGACTCTGTTTTTTTTTTTCTTTGGGGGGGGTTACTCCTGGCTCTGTGCTCAGCAATTACTCCTGGCAGTGTTTGGAGGACCATATGGGATGCTGGGGATTGAACCCAGGTTGGTTGCATGCAAGGCAAACCCTTCCCCGTTGGAGTATCGCTCCCACCCTGGTCCCCTGGTCTCTTGAACAGGACCACTGAGGCAGAAGATAATCTGGTGGCTGGAAGCTGGCTGGAACCCAGCTCTTGCGGTGCCCTCATTCAGTCCAACTTTTTTTTTTTGTCTTGGGGGCCACACCCAGTGGCTCTGTGCTAAGGGATCACTCCTGCTGGCTCGGGGGGTGTGGGCCCAGGTTGGCTATGTAAGGCAAGTACAGTACCTGCTGTATGACCCCTCTGGCCTGGGTCATCCCTACCTTTCAAAGGACCCCCGAGATCCAGTTCCTGACCCAGTCTGGGGGCTCCCCTAACCCCTGAGCTCTCTCCTAAATGCAGGTACGGTAGCTCCTCCTTCCTGTGCTCAATGGGGGGGGGGGTAGGGGGCATGGGGTTGTATGTGTGTGTGTGTCCTCCATCTGTACTTGACCTTCAGCCTGCTCTGCCCTCACTAGGGCCTCACCTCTGCCAGCAGTGCTTTGGGCAGTGCATTTTTGCTGGCGCTGGTGACTCACCATTCTCCTCCCATAAGTTCTGCCCCTGAGCCTGGCTAGCTGGGCCTGACACCTCCAGCCTCTCTAGCTCCCTACCATGCCCCCACTGGAATTTTCCCGGCCCTCCTAGACAGCTCAGCTTGGTCCACTAACAGCCCTACAGCCTCTCACCTCCTAGGCGCAGACATCCTCACCTCCTGGGGGGGAGGCCTCCCCCTTCCCTCTGCCAGCCCTTCCCCGTCCTCCTTTCCTGCAAACCATCCTCCCCCGCGGGCTTTCTCACGGTGCCCACCTGCATATATACCCCGCCCCGCAGAGGACCAGCCTGCTCCCGGGTGGGCCCCGCGCCGCCCCCCTAGCCCCGCAGGCTGGGCACAACACCTCCCCAGAATGTCGGTTGCATGCATGCATGCATGCAATATTTTCCAGCGGGTAAATTGAGGCACGGGCAAGCGTCAGAGCGGGTCAAGGTCAGAGGGCTCGACTCCGCAGGGCCCCGGCGGGCGGGCGTTGGGGCAGTGCGGGCATCGGGGCCGGGGCGTCCGGGTCACCGCGTGACTAGCTGGGAGAGGAGGGTCGGAGGCCCGAGCGGGTGCAGGCGGGGAGCAGGCGGGGTGCGGGCGGGAGCGGGCGGGGTGCGGGCGGGAGCGGGCGGGGTGCAGGCGGGGGGCGCGCCCCGGGCCGGAGACGCGCGCACCTTGCGGGCTGCGCCCCCGGCGCGTCCCCGGGCCCGCTCCCGCGTGCGGCCGTGCGGGCGTGCGTGCGGGCGCCGCGGGAGGGCGGGGGAGGGGCGCTCGCGGGCGCGCGGGTCACGTGGTGCGGGTGGCAGCGGCGGCGGCGGCGGCGGCGGCGGGGCGCGCGGGCAGGGGCAGCGGCGCGAGCGAGCCGAGGCCAGTCCCGGGGGCGGGCAGCGGCGAGGGCCGAGCGGCGAGGCCCGGCTGCGGGGGCCGCTCGGGCCCGGACGAGCCCCGCGCCGCGCTCAGCCCGGCAGCCCCGCGCCCTGAGCATCTCCCGGAGGCGCGGAGACAAAGGAGGATTCATGTCCAAAGGTAGGGCTGGCGGGGGCGCCGGGCCCAGGTGCCCACCCGGGGACGGGCGCTGCCCACGCGCGCCGCCGGCTGCGCGCCGAGCGCCCCACGCCGGGCGCACGCGAGCGGGACGCGCGCAGGTATCGGGGCCACCGCGGGACCCCTCCCCCCGCTCGCCGGGCCACCCAGCCGGGCGGTGGTCGCCCAGGGAAACTCGCCGGCCTCCGAGGGCTGGGCGGGGGAAGGGGGCGTCCCAGACCCCTTCGCTCCTGCAGATGGGAAAGGGCTGAGCCGTCTTTTGTGATCCCTCTCCTAAGAGCCGGGCTGGCGCCTCGCGGGCTGTGTGTGTGTGTGTGTGTGTGTGTGTGTGTGTGTGTGTCTGTCTGTCTGTCTGTCTCTCTCTGGGAGTGGGTCCTGCTAGGAAAAAAGTGCCCCCTCTAACCCCCGCCCCCAGCCCCCAGGACAGGTGCTGCCCTGCAAAGACCCCCCTGCAGCTTCCTTCCCACAGAGGAGTGGGGTCCCCCCACCAGACAAAGCCGGGCCAGGGGCGCTGGCCCCTTGCCTGAGCTGGGGCTGGGGGCGATCTTGTATCTGTGGGGGCACAGCTAGAACTGAGCCGGGTGGACAGGCCTCTCCCGTGGGCTCCTGCAGGGCTACTGAGGACCCAGAGTCTAGGGGGGCCTCCAGGACCCTGTCGGGGCCTGTGATCCCACGCTGAGCTCGCCATCCAACCCCCCCCTCCCCAACCACCACGCTGTGGACATCTGTGGACCAGCAGGGCTGGTCTCGAGCGTCCCCACTATGGGCTGGAGGTCAGCAGCTCTGCCGGGAGTCAGTGTCCGTGGGAGGACCGAGGGGGGTCACCATCTGCTCATTCATTCTCCGTGCTCAGCCATCATTCGGTCATTCATTCGTTCGCTTGCTGAGTGCCACCTGGTTAGGCTCTCACCTGGAGGCACAGAGGTGGGAGGGACACACCCCCGGCCGGCCCAGGGTTCAAACACCTGCTCAGGGCCAGGTAACTGATGTCCGTCCCTTTGGCCAACCCCCCTGGCTCCTGAGAGAGTGGGGACCAGGCCCCATCTTCCTGCAGTCACCCCGCTGAGGCTGGCTGGCAGAGGTCAGCAGGGCCATGGACGCGGAAGCTGGAACTACAGAATTTGGGTTCAGGGCGGTGGCCCCGCGCCCTGAATATCTTTGTATGTGTCAGAGAGCCTCTCTGGGTGACTCGGCCTTGTCTGGCTTCCAGTGCCCCTGGCACTGAGTCTGGGGTATAGAGAGGAGGTTTCCATTGGACAGCAGATGGGGTGCCCAGAGGATGGAAGAACTGAATGAATGAATGAATGAATGAGTGAGGACCAAGGGACTCTGGGGGCACAGGAAGCCCCTTGGGGGCATTCCTGGGTGGGGTGGGGGGTGGGGTGGCGGCCCAGTGGGCCCCCAGTGGCTGCCCTCCTCGTGGCCAGCGGTGGTTGGGAGCATGTGGTCGGCAGGTGATGGTCAGGGCTGTTTCCAGCTGGTGTGCAGAGAGGGGGACAGGTGGCATTCTTGCTGCTACATCACAGATGGGCTCTGCCCGCGCCTGGGGTGTGTGCCAGGTCTCCTTTGGGTGACTGCTGAGGACAGGACAGGCCGAGCGGGCCATGGTCCCGGTGGAAGCACACCTTTGATTCTTCGTTTATCTGGGGGACTGGTCAAGCGGCCAGTCTTGGGGAGCTGGGCCTGGCAGTGCAATGCGGGCGGGATGGTTCCATGCTTGACGCGGGCGAGGTGGAGCCCAGGGCCCAGGCAGTGCCGGGATGGGATTCAGGACCTCATGCCGCCAGGCCTGTGCTTGAGACCTTGGTCCCATCTGCTTCTGCTTCTCCTTGGGAGCCAGAGTGCTAGCACAGCGGGAAGGGCGTTTGCTTTGCATACAGCTGACCCTGGTGCAATCCTCAGTAGCCCATATGGTCCTCTCAGCACCGCCAGGAGTCACAGAGCCTGAGCACAGAGCCAGGAGTCAGCCCTGAGCACCGCTGGGCATGGCCCCAAAACAAACCAAAGAAGACTCACAGTCTTAGAGTCTTATAACGAAATGGACTCTGGGGCCGGAGCGATAGTCCAGCGGGGAAGACGTTTGCACGTTGGCTGGCCTGGGTTTGATCTCTGGCATCCCATAGGGTCCCCCAAGCACCGCCAGGAGTAGTAATTTCTGAATGCAGAGCCAGAAGGAACCCTTGAGCATTGCTGGGTATGACCCAAAAAAGCAAAAAAAAAAAAAAGAAAAAAAGGACTTGCTTTCCCAGGCCTTGAAGCAGTCGAGACTCCCCCCCACCTCCACAAGCCGACCAACAGTCTCTCTGCCCGCACTGTGGAGACTACATGAACTCGGCTCTGAGAGGGAAGGAGAAGGGCCCAGCTGCCGGAGCAGCTGCGTGGGGACCCGGGGTGCCGTGCAGGTGTGCCGGGTGCTGGGCAGCGGGCCGGGCCTCCCGGAGGCAGCTGCTGCAGAGCTGGGCCCATCTTGCCGCCGACTGGAGCCTCGGGCTGCCGGCAGCTTCCCGGGAAGCCGGAGGGAGCCGTGCCAGGCTCCGTGGAGCTGCCGAGGCCTGTCAGGAGGGGCAGGGCCTGGAGGTGCGGGGAGAAAGGTTTCCCACGGGCACACGGGGTGGAAGGTCCAACAACAGACTTCTGGCTGGCACTGGGGGCATGGGGATGAGGTGATGCGACCCCTTCTCCCTCTCGCCCATCTGGAGCTGAGTCTCTGCAGGAGGATGGCCAAGCCCAAAGGGTCCCTGGGAGAGTGCGGGGGGGCTCGGGAGCATCGGGGGTCACATCGGGGGTCACCCTCTGTAGCCCGCGCATGCTCTGGCCTCGTGCCTCCCCCTGAGGAGCCCAGGAACCCAAACTGGGCAGGGGGTCTGGACTGTGTGGCCCTTAGGGAGCTTCCCAGCACTGTCTGTTCAGGCCCCCCCACCCCAGGCTCCCAGCAGGGAGTCCCCCAATCCCCCCCACAATGGGCAACTTTCTTTTTTTTTTCCTTTTTTTTTCTTTTTGGGTCACACCCGGCGATGCTCAGGGGTTCCTCCTGGCTCTGCACTCAGGAATCACTCCTGGTGGTGCTCCGGGACCCTATGGGATGCGGGGAATAGAACCCGGGTCGGCCGTGTGCAAGGCAAACGCCCTCTCCGCTGTCCTAGGCTCTGGACAGGGTCACGGTCCGCCTTACACACACCCCGTTTTCTGGGAAGCGGGTGCGCTCTCCTACGGCCTCCTCGGGCGACACGGAAGTAGCTTGGCCCTGCCCCGCCCAGGGAACACTTTCCTCGTCCTCCCCTCCTTCACGCTCCAGGCACCATTTCTCTTGCTTCCTTGTTGAGTCATTTCCGGCCTTGCTGGGGGACCGAGCGGGGGTCTGGCCTGTGGGTGCGTGCCTTCACCCCTCTGAGCCCCTGCCACACCCCTCCCCACCCTGCCCCGCCCCGTGCCATCTTCAGCACACGGCCCCCGCCTGGGTGTCATGCTCTCCTTGTGTACCTCAAGGGGCGACATTCTCCTGCAGGTGAAATCTGGTGAGGCCAGCGGCTGGCACTCCACGGGCACAGACCCCCTCTCAGAGGGGACACTGAGGCAGGGGACTCAGGAGGAAGGGGTTTGGCCCTTTTTATACCTAAATGACCATGCCAGGGAAGACCGTGCCCAGGAGTCCCTAGGCAGCTGCTTCTGGAAAGCCTTTGGCTTCCTTGGGAAGGGGGACCGGAGCAGACTGTCGCAGATGGGGGCGTTGCTCTGCAGGACGGGGCAGTGGGTGCATGTGCAGATGTGCTTATGTCTTAGCCCATCACGGTCAGGGCAGCTCCTGCCAGCATCTGTTAGATGCCAGGGATGCCCTGGATGTCACACCTTACACAGGACAGATCCCCTCATCACTCTGTTTTGGTTTTATTGTTTTTTGGGTCACACCCCGCGATGCACAGGGGTAACTCCTGGCTCTGCACTAAGGAATTATCCCTGGCGGTGTTCAGGGGACCTTATGGGACACTGGGAATCAAACCCGGGTTGGCTGCGTGCAAGGCAAACACCCTACCCACTGTGCCTATCGCTCCAGTCCCCTGCCCCCCTCATCACTCTGGACCCCAGATGTCACCATGCCCTGGCTGGGGGGGGGGGTTGTGGGAGAAACGCCCTTTCAGACCTGCAGACACAGTGACCTACAGACACAGTGACCCGCAGGCCAGTACTTGGGGCCCTCTAAGTGCACTGGCGAGTGTCCCTCCCGCCAAGTCCCTCGGCTTCCTGGGCGAGGCACTCGGGGTCCCCATGGAGCGGGGGCTCCCGGGTGCTGACTGCAGCCCTCCCCTGCTGTGGCCCCGTAGGGCTCTCGGACGCAGCCATGTCAGAGCTGGTGCCTGAGCCCAGGCCGAAGCCGGCAGTGCCCATGAAGCCCGTGAATGTCAGCGTCAACTCCAGCCTGCTGGGCTACGTGGGCATTGACACCATCATCGAGCAGATGCGCAAGAAGACCATGAAGACGGGCTTCGACTTCAACGTCATGGTCGTGGGTATGGGGGGCCGGGGGGCTGGGGGCCAGGGGCCCTCCCTTCAGTGCTCGGTTTCAGACCTGGCCTCAGCAGTGGCAGGGGGTGGATTGGGGGGTACCCCCAGGCCACCTCTCCCACCACTACTTTTCAATAATTTGGTTTAGGGGAGCATCAAGGTCCTTCTCTCAGTCCTTTTTTTTTTTTTTTTAAATGTAGCAGTGGACTGGAGCAATAGCACAGTGGGTAGGGCATTTGCCTTGCACGCAGCCGACCCGGGTTCAATTCCTCCGTCCCTCTCAGAGAGCCCAGCAAGCTACCGAGTATCCTGCCTGCACTCTGCCAAGCTCCCCGTGGCGTATTCGATATGCCAAAAACAGTAACAACAAGTCTCACAAAGGAGACGTTACTGGTGCCCGCTCGAGCAAATCGATGAACAACGGGAGGGCAGTGCCAATAATGTAGCAGTATTGCTATTTATTCAGCCATTGATTAAGCTGATTGAATTCCTCCCCCCCCACCATCCTTATGAGCTGGGGTGACGGGCTGGGGAAGGACGTCTGATCTTTTGGGGGCGCTTTTCAAGTTAGGATTTTCAGGACCTCGGTCCCTGCAGTGCCCCTGAGTTGTGGAACATAACAGCAGGACACGGTTCCTCGGTGGTCCAACCCGCACCTGGTCCGCGTCTTTGCCCCCTGCGTTTTCACCTTGAGCTCCATCACTGCTTCCGTCAGCTTTTTTGCCCGGGTCTCGGGGGTCTGCCCTCTCCTCCCTGCGCCGGGTAGCGGGGTGTCTGCCCCTGCATCAGCACGTGGGTCCCCCAGGAGCACCGGCGGCTCTGCGTGGTCCCCTTCCCTCTTGGTGCTGCCTGCTGTTTTGGTCTCTATGCAGTGGAGGCCCAGGCTTGCCCCTGGCCACGCGTGGGGGGCTGTAGGGTGCTGGGTCTCCTAATAGTGCCAGCCCCGTGAGCACCTCTCTGGCCCGTAGGCGCAAATCTCTCAACGCCAGGCAGCGGAAGTGAGTGGCACCCACTCACCCGCGTTCTCCTTCCTCCAGGACTTCGATCCTTCATCCTTCAGGCCCCTTTTTTCCCCCAGCCTCCAAACTCCTCCCAGTGCCCAGCCCACTGCAGACCCTTCATGATTCTCCCTTTGGCTAAGCCTGAGTGGCCTCATCCACCCCCCCACCCAACCACACAGCCCTACCCTCTTCCTGGGTGGCGGGTCTGCACCGCCCTTCCCAGACACGGTTTGCTGGGATTTTCCGGGCTCTTTCTTCCCTTCCCCGCCCCCCGCCTTTTGTACACACTGTTCCACGGTCACACACACACACACACACACACACATATGCACACACCCTTCCAGCTTCTCCAGGTGCTTGTGTCTCCTCCACCTGACCCAGCTCCTGAGAGTGAAGGTGACACCTCCCCCCGCATGTGCCCTACTGTCCCCATTTCAGGAAAAAAAAAAAAAGAAAGAAAGAAAGATTCAGCTCCCTGCTGGAAATCCACCTCCATTCAGTGTATGAACGGGAAGTGCCCCCCAGTCATGCCTTTGGCCACTGGCCCCATCTTTCCAATGTCCCCCCTGGAGGGACAGTGTCCCCCACTTTGACAGAGGCTGCTGGAGCCGCTTTTAGCTTTTCTTGCATGTGTTGGGGTGTGTGTGGGGGTTTCCTTCGCAAGCCTGGCTGTGGACTGTCTCGGGGACCAGTGTGGGTTCCCAGCCCCGTTTCCAGCTGTGGAACTTCTGGAAACACAAGCTCTGGTGCAGCCAGCAGAGACATTGACGCCCATGGAGTAGGGATGGGTGGGGGCGGCCCTCCCTGCCCTCCTCTCCCCTCCCTGCGCAGTGACTTGCGCATCCCCCTCTATAGCCCCACTCCAGTGGGGTCCGTGATCACCGAGGGGTGCTTGGATACCACCAGGGCCAAAAGGGCAGGAGGGAAAAAAGTGGTGCTCTTGGTGCTGTGATAAAGATGGGAAACTTCCGCTGGACACACACACACACACACACACACACACACACACACACACACACACACAGGAGCGCAAGGATTTCACTAGGCAGAGAGATGGGGTCCTCCCCCCAACTCCTGGGCTCCACACGGAGGGACTGGATTTCCCAGACCTTGGGCATCGAGAAGCCACTTGCTCCATCCCGTGACGGTGACTCACGGCTCTAGACTTCTGCGGGGTGGGGTGGGATGGGGGGGTCGGGGGAGAGCACGAGGCTCAGAGCTGGACCCGACCCGGCCTTCTCACCCCCGCCTTGCGCAGGTCAGAGCGGGCTGGGCAAGTCCACGCTGGTGAACACGCTCTTCAAATCCCAGGTGAGCCGCAAGGCCTCCAGCTGGAACCGAGAGGAGAAGATCCCCAAGACGGTGGAGATCAAAGCAGTGGGGCACGGTGCGGCTCGGGGCGCGGACAGGGGTGTGGGGTGCAGAGCAGTGTGGGCATGGGTGTGGTGAGGCCGCAGGCAGGGCGTGTACAGGGGCCTAGGGCTGGGCGGGGATGCGGGGCGCAGGTGTACAGACTTGGGGAGGGGCGTGTGCAGGGCGATCAGGGCTTCTTGGGGCTCGGGACAGAGGAGGGGTGACCCCTCCTCTGAGCTGGGTGGTCCTGCGGGAGTGGTGGGTGGGTTTAGACAGCCTGAGCGGGCTGGTGCGACAGTACAGCGGGCAGGGTGCTTGCCTTCCTGGTTCGATCCCCGATACCCCAAATGGTCCCCCGGGCCCTGCCAGGAGTGATCGCTGAGGACAGCCAGGTATGGCTCAAAAAAATGCCCCCCACGGTGCTGGGGCGATAGCACAGCGGGTAGGGCGTTTGCCTTGCACGCGGCCAACCTGGGTTTGATTCCCAGCATCCCATATGGTCCCCTAAGCACTGCCAGGGTTAATTCCTGAGTGCATGAGCCAGGAGTAACCCCTGTGCATCGATGGATGTGACCCAAAAAGCAGAAAACAAACAAACAAAAAAACACCCCCCAAAACAACAAAAATACAGGGGGACAGCGTTGGGGGCGCGCCTACCTGGGTACCCGAAACCGGGAAGGAGATCGGGCTCGGGGAAGCTCTAGGGCTGCCTTTCCTGAAGGTGGGGCCGGGGCACCCTGGCTGGCCTGCCAGGTGACACCCCCCTCCCCGGGTGCTATGTCCCCCCAGTGATAGAGGAAGGCGGCGTCAAGATGAAGCTCACGGTCGTGGATACCCCGGGCTTTGGGGACCAGATCAACAACGAGAACTGGTATGTGTCTGCCGCAGGCGGGGAGGCTCAGGGCCTGAGGGGGAGGGCAGAGGCCCGCCTGGGGCCCAGTGTGGGGCTGGGGTGACAGAGCTGAGGGGCTGGCCTGGGGGGCCTGGACCTTGGGCATCTGAGCAGGGACTCTCTCCGGGCCACTGAGAAGGGCCAGTCTTTTTCTTTTTTTTTAAATTTTTTTAAAATTTAATTTTTTTGGGAAAAGGGCCCTTCTTGGCTCTTACTGCTGCCCATGGCCAAGGCTGGCAGCTGGGACAGTGGTGGAGTTGGCACTATGGTATACAGATGGAAGGTTCTAGATTGAAGTGTTCCCCCAGGCAAGGGTGGAGTCTATGTGCTATTTTTAAAAATTTTTTTTGGGGGTGGTCACACCCGGCAATGCTCAGGGGTTACTCCTGGCTCTGCACTCAGGAGTTACTCCTGGCGGTGCTCAGGGCACCATATGGGATGCTGGGAATCGAACCCGGGTCGGCTGCGTGCAAGGCAGATGCCCTACCTGCTGTGCTATCACTCCAGCCCCAAGTCTATGTGCTTTTGGGAAGGAGCTGGGGTGCCCCCCCAGACAGACAGGGCCCCAGCTAGGGGGGATGACCCTCTGCCTCCCGTGTGTGTGTGTGTGTGTGTGTGTGTGTGTGTGTGTGTTCTCACAGATGAAGGTCCGTTGTTGCGGTAATTGGGGATTGTCACCGCGAGGAGTGGTCCAGCACTTTCCATGGCCGCTGCTGTCTGTGCTGAACCCCCCTACCTGCTCCGTGCAGCCCTACGGGCCTTCCTGCAGGGCCCCTCATTTCATGAGAAACAGCCTGGAGGGCCGGGCAGAGTGGGGGCTACAGGCTCCTAGAGACCCGGGGCCAGCCGTCTGGAGGGTCTTGGAGATGGGGGGCGGCAGGCTCCCCCCGGCCCTCCATGTCCACCCTCCCTGCCCCGCAGCTGGGAGCCCATTGAGAAGTACATCAACGAGCAGTACGAGAAGTTCCTGAAGGAGGAGGTGAACATCGCCCGGAAGAAGCGCATCCCCGACACGCGCGTGCACTGCTGCCTCTATTTCATCTCCCCCACCGGACACTCGTACGTACCCCCAGTGCTGCGGGGGCGTCCCTGGGGGTTCCTCTCCCCCACTGGACGCTCATTTGTACCCCCCAGTGCTGTGGGGGTGTCATCCCCAAGGCTTCTCCCCCACACTGGAAACTCGGACATACTCCCCAGTGCTGTCCCCAGCACTTGTCCACGCTGAGACCTGGACTCAGCCCGGGAGGCCAAGATGGGCCGGGTCAGGCAGCCAGGACCAGTCCCGGGACTGTTGCACAATGGTGCTCCAGGAAAAGTGCTCAGCTGTGCATGGGGCCTCCTGGGCATTGTTGTTGCCTGCTCGGGGTGGGTGTGGCACAGGCCACACCTGGACGGGGACACGCTGTGGGTAGCTGGAGGGCAAGCAGGCCCCCCGGGCGTCGGAGAGCAGGGTGCAGGCTGGCAGCGGCGGGCAGGACGTGAGAGCTCTGGGCCTGAATGGGTGTGAACCGAGCAGCAGGGCAGACAATGAAGACATCGGGTGGCCTGGGGCCTCTTCCCAGCATGGGTGGGCTTGGGGGACCTTCCAGGTCAGGGCTCAGATCTAGAGATGACGATGTAGCCAAGACCCCCCCCCCCCCAGCACTGGAGGAACCAGGCACTCCAGTGGGCGTCTGATGGAGGGGCTGAGAGACTCCATAGGAAGGTTCATTTTCTCCCTCACCACCACGATTGGGGTCCCAGCCAGAACCCTGAGAAGGGGGCAGGGACCTCCAGGACGCCTGAGCAGAGAGAGGAACAGCCCCTGCAGAGACGCCGTCATTAGGAGAAAGACACCAGCAGGCAAAGGCGTCTGGGCGGGTCGCGGGCGGGCGGGGTGGTGGCTGGCAGGACCAAGCAGTACCCAGGCTGGAAAGGAGGGGGGGATGGTGGAGGACACTGGGGGGAGGGGGTGTAGGGGCCTGTATGGAGCAGGTGAGAGGAGGTGGGGCCGGCAGGAGAGGAGGCGTCTGCTGTTGGGGGCGGCGGGTGGCGCCGACAGCCCACTCCGTGCCCCCAGCTTGCGGCCGCTGGACCTGGAGTTCATGAAGCACCTCAGCAAAGTCGTGAACATCATCCCGGTCATCGCCAAGGCCGACACCATGACGCTGGAGGAGAAGTCGGAGTTCAAGCAGAGGGTGAGGCCCCGCCCCCCCCCCCGCCCCTCCCCGTGCAGCCCTGAGCCGGGGCAGAGGGGACTGTGGCTGAGGACTGAAGGCCAAGGTGGGGACCTGCTTCTCTGCCACCCACAAGCCCGGACCGGGAGACGATGCTGTTAGGTTGCTTGATGGGGACTAACCATCAAGCTAGACCTTAGTGGAATGTTCTAGAAGTCCTCCCTGTGCAGGAACCACTGGGGAGGAAGATGCAAGATCCGCAGACAGGCAGCTCCTGCCTCTAAAACACTTAAGAGTCAGGGGGCTGGACCATAGCACAGTGAGTTAGGCTTTTATGTTATTTATTTATTTATTTTGTCTTGCACGCAGCTGACCAGGATTCAATCCCCAACATCCCATGGGGCACCCGAGCACCGCCAGGAGTGATCCCTGAGCACTGCCATGTATGGCCCTAAGACAACAAAAAAAAAGAGAGAAACTTAGTCAACTCTGGCATGATTAGGACCCCGTTTGCTCCCCAGCACCGCTGGGCAGAGTATGGAACTGTCAGGCCTGCACAGCCGGGCCGAGAATCACTGGGGGTTGCCCTGTGGCCCTGAGCAATGCTTGGGACTCCTCCCTCCAAAAGGCTAACCCAGGGGTTGGAGCGATAGCGGGGAAGGCATTTGCCTTGCACGCAACCGACCCAGGTTCGATCCCTGGTGTCCCATATGGTCCCCCAAGCACCACTAGGAGTATTTCCTGAGTGCAGAGGCAGGAGTAATCGCTGAGCATCCCTGGGTGTGACCCAAAAAGAAAAAAAAAAGGGGGGGGAGCAGCTAACCCTGAGACAGTCAAGTAGACCAGCGCTGGGAAGGTCTTGGACGGCTTCCTGGAGGAAGCAGGATTTCAGGCTAGAGAGAGGAGTGGTGGCTGTTGGGCTCCCTGTAAATGGGAAGGTGGGCAGGGAGGGGGATGTCACAAGTTTTGCTCCCAGGGGTGTGCTGGCTGTCACCTCAGGCAGCAGGTGAGGCTGTGTTGCCTTGTGCCAGGGTACAAGTTCCAGAGGAACCCCACCATGTGTGCCACATGGGTGCACCCCCTTCAGCCCCCATGGCTCTTGCACACCTCCCGCCCCTCCCGCCAGGTTCGCAAGGAGCTCGAAGTGAACGGCATCGAGTTCTACCCCCAGAAGGAATTCGACGAGGACCTGGAGGACAAGACGGAGAATGACAAAATTCGGGTGGGTGTAAATCTCGGCTCCTCAGAGCCCCCTCGGGTCTCCCTGGTCACCCTGGGAGGGCCATCGAGAACCCCGTCCCCCCCACCCTGCCCGTCATCTGCATCCCACCCAGCGGCCTCACAGTAGCTCCAGGGGATCTGGCTGGGGAATCATCGGGTTTTTGTTTTTATTCTTTTGGGGGCCGCATCTGGCGATGCTCACGGCTGACTCCTGGCTCTGCACTCAGGGACTCACTCCTGCCAGTGCTCACGGGACCATAATGGGGTGCCGGGATCGAACCTGGGCCGACTGTGTAGGGCTTCCGCCACCTGGCTGGGAAATTGAGCTCTTTCCCAGTTCTGACCTTCTGCAGTCTGCTTTGGCATCAGAACCCCGAGTTCTATTCTGGACTTTTCTCTCAGCCTAGCATAACCTGGCACACACGTTCTCCCTGTGTGGGTCCGTTCCCTCCTTGGAGGAGTGTGAGGTGAACAGCTGATGCCGGCCTCACACTGGGGGCTCACACTTGCCTGGGCCCTCACACAGATTGTAGCACCAACATCAACACGTTACTCTCAGTGACAGCTTCTTCCCCGGTCATAGTATGGAAAGAGTAGGAATGAAGAAATCATTAAAGGAGGAAATCATCTAAAATTTATTTAAAACTTATTTTAATTTGATCAGGTATGGGGTTAAAGGCATGTTGAACATACATATCCTAAACCTTGAACACAGTTTTCTTGTGGAGGCCAGACCTCTTCTTTGAGTCTAAACCCACTTCTTTTTGCTAGAGAAGCTTCGTTTTAGCCAAGCTTTCTGGTTTTTTTTTTGTTTGTTTGTTTGTTTGCTTTGCTTTTTGGGTCACAACCAACAGTGCACAGGGGTTATTCCTGGCTCATGCACTCAGGAGTTACTCCTGGCGGTGCTCTGGGGACCCTATGGGATGCTGGGAATCGAACCCAGGTCGGCCGCGTGCAAGGCAAACGCCCTACCCGTTGTGCCATACCTCCAGCTCCCTATCCAGCCTTTCTGAAACACTTTAATTCTCTAGGAAGCAGCATCTACACACTCGTCGCCCGGTACCTCTGCTGCAGGACAGTGAATTGAACCGCTATTAAGAACTTGGGGGGATAATACTGCGTGGAGGGCGTTTGCCTTGCATGTGGCTGACCTGGGTTTGATCCCCGGCATCCCATAGGGTCCCCCAAGCACTGCCGGAGTAATTCTTGAGTGTAGAACCAGGAGTAACCCCCGAGCATCGCTGGGTGTGACCCAAAAAGCAAAAAAAAAAAAAAAAAAAAAAAAGAACTTGTTGGGCCAGAGTGATAGTACGGAGTACAGATGGGAGGGTGTTTGCCTTGCATGTGGCTGACAGGGTTTGACTCCCGCGTCCCTCCCACATGGTCCCCCAGACCTGCTAGGAGTGATTCCTGAGTGTAGAGCCAGGAGTAACCCTTGAACATTGCTAGGGGTGACCCAAACAACTCCCCTCAACCCCACCACCAAAAGAATAGAAAACTTGTACAGAGGCTTGAGAGATAGGATGGGGCTAAGGCACTTGCGTTGGGTGTGGCCAACCCCAGTTCCATCCCAGGCACCACTATGGTCCACTGAGCATGGATTTAGGAGCAAATTCTGAGCATCACCAGGGATGGCCCAATCCCTCTGCCGCCACAGATAAAAGTATAAAAACTGGAGAAGAGGGGCTGGAGTGATAGCACAGCGGGTAGGGCATTTGCCTTGCACGCGGCCTACCCGGGTTCGATTCCCAGCATCCCATATGGTCCCCCGAGCACCGCCAGGGGTGATTCCTGAGTGCAGAGCCAGGAGTAACCCCTGAGCATCGCCGGGTGTGACCAAAAAAAAAAAACTGGAGAAGAAAAACAAACCTCACTAGGTGAGGCAAATAGAGGAACACAGGCTGGGGTGAGCCGCAACCCAACTGCTGGGGCAGAGAAGCTGGTGCCCACCAAGTGGGCGTTGAAACTTGAGCCTTCGGCTGAGGAGTGGCCCTGCCCAGTGGTTTTATGGGGCTGACAGCAGAAAGCAGCAGTTCCCAAGGGTGTCCGTTTTACGATCTCTCATAACATTCTTCTCCCGATCAAACCGAACCTGTCTGGGGCAGGAGCGATAGCACAGCAGGGAGGGCATTTGCCTTGCATGCGGCCAACCCGGGTTCGATTCTCAGCATCCCATATGGTCCCCTGAGCACCGCCAGGAGTAATTCCTGAGTGCAGAGCCAGGAATAACCCCTGTGCATTGCTGGAAGTGACCCAAAAAGGAAAAAAAAAAAAAAGAAAAAAAAAACTGAACCTGTCAAAGCGGCGACAGAAGCATGGTCCAGTCCAAAGGTCAGGGCTGGCCTGCAGACTTGTTGGGGGAGATGGACCCGGCGCCTTGACTGGTGTCTCTGCCCTCCAGCAGGAGAGCATGCCCTTTGCCGTGGTGGGGAGTGACAAGGAGTACCAAGTGAACGGCAAGCGTGTGCTCGGCAGGAAGACGCCCTGGGGAATCATTGAAGGTAACTGGATCTGCAGCAACTGGCCATGAATGATGCTGATTTAGCTGTTTAGCGGCTTGAGAATGGTAGAAATGAAATGCGCTGGCCAGCGGGGGGCTGTCAGGAGTTTACAGTTTCATCGGAGAAGCGGAGAACCCTGACTGGAAGCTCTGGGCCCACCTTGGCACTGACTCGGTGGTGTCAGATACTTCCCGTGGTGGGACAGCTAAGGGCCCAGGGAGCGGCTGTCCCTGGAAGCGCGCCTGCCTGACAGGGTGCTCCCCAGGAGTCATGGTGGCCGAGTCTAAGGATTCTGATGGTTTTCAGAGAACGGCTTTTGTACCTGCTCCCGAGGCGGTCGGATCTCAGCTTAAGGTCCCTGCCGAAGCCACTGAATTGCTAGCAGTGATCCTGGGATTTCAGACTCAGATTTGGTTTCCTGACCACACCCCGTGATGCCAGGCAGGAGGCAGCCTGGCTACCCCTGGCAGACTTGGTGATTTTGACTCCACTACCAGGTCCACACCATCGGCTTGGGTTATTTCTCCCCTTAGCACAACACTCTCCTTCCCTTGTTCATGGATTTGCTCGAGCAGGCACCAGTAACGTCTCCATTATGAGACTTATTATTTTGGCATATTGAATACGCCATGGGGAGCTTGCCAGGCTCTGCCATGCGGGCGGGATACTTTCCGTAGCTTGCCGGGCTCTCGAGAGGGACAGAGGAATCGAACCCAAGTCGGCCGCATGCAAGGCAAACGCCCTACCCACTAAGCTATCGCTCCAGCCCATTTCTCTCCTTATTCACTAGAATTTTTCAGTCTTTTGTGGTGTTGGGGATAAACCCGGGTCTCACGCACGCGAGGCACCGCGCTCTGCCGCTGAGCCGCACAAAAGGACTTGGGAGCCTTTTTACAAAAATAGTGTTTTGTCATCGTCATCTAGTTCTTGACTTGAAATTATTTATGAGCCTGTCTGTTCTGTCCATTAAGCCTGGAGGGCTCCCGTCTTCCTCTTTCTCTGCTGCTCCCACAATGGTTGCCAAAGGATTTGCAAATCGTAGGCGCTTAATGGATGTGGAATGACACGTCTCCCGCAACTTCCGACGGAAGGTGTATCTTAGAGGGAGACCACAGCAGGCTGAGGGCATGCTTTGCATGTGAGATGCCGGAGTTCAATTCCTGAACGGTGCTCCTGAATGCTGCTGGGCTTTGCAAAAAAAAAAAAAAATCAAACTCCCCCCCCCCCCCCAATAAAATAAAAATGGTTTATTCTCTACGTTACAAAATTCAGACATTTAGAAATCTAATAGTATTTATGAAACAGGGATCAGGAGACTTCGCAGAAAGTGACAAGGTCTGCAGAGCTGTGCAGGAAATGAGGGATTTTTTTTTTTTTTTTTTTTTTTTTTTGCTTTCTGGGTCACACCCGGCAATGCACAGGGTTTACTCCTGGCTCTGCACTCAGGAATAACTCCTGGCGGTGCTTAGGATGCTGGGAATCGAACCTGGGTCGGCTGCATGCAAGGCAAAGGCCCTACCCGCTGTGCTATCACTCCAGCCCCGGAAATGAGGGTTTTTATCATCAGAAAAAGGGAGCGATACATGGGTCAGAACCTAAAGGATTGTTCTGGAACAGCCACCTTCCCTGCTGGGGAAGAGAGCAGGTCTTACAGAGCAGATGAACTCAGTGGTGCTGATGTGGGAATTCCAAGTTGGTTTCGGATGACACTTCTGAGCTGGAAACTGCCCTGGGGTTAAGTGTTCAGTCTGAGTGAGGCCAGTGTCTCCCGAACCCTCGCCCTGGCTTGCAGATTTTCTCCCACTCCCGTGAGGGGCCTCTCCAGGGTGGGCACCAAGTCTCAGCGTCCCCGGGCCTGCGGCAGTGCAAGTTTCCTCATCGTAGAGCAGGGGAAAAGTCATAGTTCTTATTTGCTGCCTGACTGTTTCGATGCTGTTATAGCCACTTAGTACAGATGTGTTTCTGGATGCAGGCCAGCGGGGGAGCAGACTGCTGGGGACAGGGGGGCGTGGGGCGGTCATCTGAACCCGGCGGGGTCTTCATTGGGGGTCACCGCTTGGTTTTGTTCGCAGTGGAGAACCTCAGCCACTGTGAATTTGCCCTGCTTCGTGACTTCGTGATCCGGTAAGCTGCCCTCCCCGACATGGCGGACTTGTTGGGGTCTGGGGGCTCTCGGTCCACTTCCGATTCCTGTCCCAGGCAGGAGGGGCTGAGGAAGTCCCATAGGCTCTGGGGACGGGGGCCCAGTCATTGGGGCTGTGGGCCTGGAAGGGGACCAACCACCTCAGCTCTGCGGCCAACCACTCACTGCCTCCCTAACCCCATCCCACTGCCCCCCCCACCCTCCCCCCACCCCACCACCTCTTGTTCCTTCAGGACCCACCTCCAGGACCTCAAGGAAGTGACGCACAACATCCACTACGAGACCTACCGGGCCAAGCGGCTCAATGACAACGGAGGCCTCCCCCCGGTGAGCGCGGACACGGAGGCCAGCCACGACAGTAACCCCTGACCCCCTCCATCCCATCACCCCCCCACACACACACACACACAAACAGCATCCCACACACCGCCTCCCACTCTCCTCTGTCCCGAGGGTCTGTCTGCTGTTTGTGGAGCGCCGTGTCCGCTGCGTGTCTGTGTGCGTGTGTGTCTGTGTGTGCACGTGTGCGCGTGTGTCTGTGTGTGCAAGCGAGCGAGCGCGGGGGTTGAGGTCTTCTCCCGGCCCTCCCGGGAAAGTTCTGTGTCACTTGGGTTCCCCATGGCTGTCTGTGATCTGTCCTCTTTCCCCGTGTCCCAGAACAGAGCGCTGGGTCTCTCTCAAGAGGCCTGGGGGACGTTTCCTTTCAAAATGACAGGAGCAAGGGACCCCCCCCCCAAACTCTTGCTTGTTTCTGACCCTGCCCCCAGGGAGACTGCCGAATCTCCGAGGGAAAGCATTTGAGCATGAAGCGTTCCCCACCTTCCCTGGGGGCTCAGGGTGGTCTGGGATGCTAGGGACAGGCTGAAATTTCTGGGAGAGCAGAGGGCTGGCCAGAATGGAAGGGAGCTCCACCCTTGGGTCTGTGTCGCTGTCCAAAGGCTATCCCTGTCGCTGTCACTGCTGGCTGCGCGCCCCCCCACTGCACCTTCCTGTCCCCTCCTCCCCTTCCTGCCTTCCTCCTCATCCTGCCCCCTCCAGGGATAAGCAGCCGCATCTTCCTGCCTGTACTTGGGGGCTTACGCTTCCCCGACTTCCAAAACGGATTGCAGCCGCCAGTCCAGAGGGAGGTTGGCAGGAGCGGGGTGGCAGGGAGACTGGCGGACAGTGCCCACAGCCACGTGGATGCTGACCCTGACCCAGAGCTGTCCGAGGTGCAGGGGGGCCCGGGTGCCCGAGCTCTGCTCAGCCTTTTTCGCAAGCCTTCCGTTCTACAACCGAGTAAAAGAAAGCTCAGAACCCTCCCGAGTCAGCCTGGCCTGCAGTTCTTCTCCCCGGAAGCTGCTTTCCGCTCACACCTGCCCCTCCCAGCCCCCTACCCCCCTCGCTGCTCTGTGCTCTGCATCATTGCTGTCTCCTCGCCTTTGTGCTGAACTTGACCGCATTTCTGTCTGCCTGCCTGTCTCTGTGCATCCCTGACGCCCCCCTCCTGAATCCCGCAGACATTCCCGACGGTGCCCCCCCCCAATCCTCGTCAACCTCCTGCAGCCGCTGCCCCCGCCCTCTCTTTATAATGCACATTTCCACACGCGCAACCTCGCAGCCTTTCTACACAGATCCTTCCTCCTTTAGCCCCTCAGGTGGCTGACATCTGGGGGCTGGGAAGCACCAAATGATGCAGTTCACAATAACCCTGTCCCAACCTTCGGTTCTGACTCTGGTCCGCTTCTGGGACCAGCTCTTCTGGGCCTCTGGGAATCCCGGACATTAGAGTCATTTCATCACTCAGGTGCTAGGAAAACGCACAGACTTAAAAGCCCAGGGTCCAGCAGACCAGGAGAAGGGGTTGGGTGACCAGATTGCCAGTGACCCTGAGCTCCTGTCCCCATCTGTGCTGAGGCTCTCGACCCCACAGCATCCCCCCTCCCCACACACACACAAGCAAGGACTTGAGGCAGGAAGCAGGGCCCTGAGTCACGCAAGCGTTTCCACAGAAGGGCCTGTCCCGGCTTCCATAGCCAGTTCGGGATGGACATGGGCCTACACCCGCGGACCCCGACTCCAGGGTAGATTCCAGGGTGGGGGCGGGTGCTGGAGAGGCTTAGCCCTATGACCCTGATCTCAGACCTCCCTGGAGCAGCTGTCTTTCATGTCTGTGGCCAGCTGCTGGCCTCCGTGCAGCTCACCCGTTCTCACCCCCTCCCCCCCTGCAGGGAGAAGGTCTCCTGAGCACTGTCCTTCCACCGGTGCCAGCCACCCCCTGCCCCACAGCTGAGTGACGGCCCTTCCAAGCGCCGCTTCTCCCGCCACGCCTGGCGGCTCTTAGAGCTGCCCGGGCCGTGGCCTTTGGGGCGCTGAGGGGGGCCGCCCCGAGCAGGCGGCAGCGGCTGGCTGCCTCCCTAGGACACCTTGCTTCCTCCACGCTCCACGCCACCACCCCCTCCCTGTGGAAGGGAGCTCTCGCCGCACTGCCCTCCATCGTCTGTGTCCGCCGGTCCCGGCCTGTCTGTGGGGTGAAGGAACTCACCAAGAGCTGCTTCTGCCCTTGCTACCCCATGCCAGCCACCTGTGACCATCTCCCAGGGCACGGCCCCCTCCCCGCTCGCTGCATGCGCCGCTCTTGGATCCCCCGCAGGGGCCAAGAAGGCAACCTTGCTTCTTGTCAGATTTGTGGACGTCAGCTGTGTGAGCCCCGATGTGGAACAAGGGTGTCTCCTGCATTACCTAAGGCTTATGTGTCAGGATGGATCATTCCAGAAGGGGGAGCAAGGGCTAGGATTGCTTTTTTTTTTTTTTTTAATTTTGTTTTGCTTTTTTTTTTTTTAAATACACCTCACCACGTTTGGCCGTATAGTTTCATATCCATTCTTACCCCACCAAGTAGCTACTTTGGAAGAGTGATTTCCCTGAAGAGACATTTCTGGAACTGACTTCCTTGTCCTCAGACTTTTAAGGAAAAAAAAAAAAGGAAGGGAACTAAACACGCAGAAAATTCCAGAAGCCCACAAGATGTGAATTTGAGGAAGAAAAACTTATCCTTCTGCCATGTAGCAATAAGAGGGAGCTCTTCCCAGCCACCCCTGGAGTAGTCCTACCCAGTTCATGTGAGTCATGAGTTAATAGCGCACAGTCCTCACTGTGGGCCAATGGAAAGTCCCCCGCAGAGGGCAAAGCCCTCCATCAGATGCATGAATGTTCGCGAATGTTGGCTGCCAGTTCCCCCCTCACTGTGTCTTTATGAAACACCTCCCCTCCCCAACACCCCCCCCATCTCCACCTGGACACAACTTGCTCAAAGGCTGGTGACTTGTGGGCCACTGACCTACAACCAAGTCCTGTGGGAGCATGAGGCCCAAGCCTAGGGGATGCAGAACGACCTGTTTCTTCAACGTGACCAGTCCCAGCCCACCTTTTGGTGACATTATGATTCAAGTTCCCAACCAAGCCAACAAACATTCAAACTGGTTGTGTAAATGTTGCTAGACTTTCTGTGTTGTATAACTAAATGTTGCTGTTTGAACAGCCGCCTGGCCTGCGTCTTCTTTGGGGGTCCCACATCCTCCCACCCACCTGTGGCGGGTAAGACAGGGACTGTCGAGGTGATGAGCAGCAGCCGCAGGGTTCAAGGAGACAGTTCAAGTGCCCCCTCCCCGACCCCCAAACAGGCAGCAAGCAACCCCCTTGCGCCATAATCCCCGCCCACCCCTCCAGGCCACGCCCATCACGTGGTTGCAGGCCCCACCCCTTCCCATCCCAGGGTCAGTAGGAGGTGCCCCGAGCAAGCTGGCTGTGAATCAGAACCACACCGAGAGCCGCGTGGGGGCTCAAATCCCTTACGGTGACAGGTGCCTATGGGGGCGGCTGGGGCCTCGTTAGCAGAGGGGGTCTGGGCTGGATGGGGCGGAGCGGGAGGGCTCGGCCAATCAGGGCTCTTCCCGCCTTTTCTGCGGGCTTCCCGCTTGGCTCCGCCCCCGCGGGCAGGGCGCCTGCGCACTAACCTCCTGGGGGGCCTGCCGGAAGCGCCCCTAGTGGAGGCGGGACTTTGGCCAGCCAGGAGGCCGGAAGGGGACTCCGGCGGCGGCGTTCGGGGAAGGGGGTGTGAGGCGCTGCCCACCCCCCACAAAAAAGGTGGGTGCGCGCTGGCAAGGGGCAGAAGACACATGGTCATTCCCGGTCACGCGGGGCTGCCACCCAAGCTTGAGCTCTTTGGCGGTGGAACCTTCTGGAAGGGTCCCGAAATGTCAGGGGCCAGCCTCTCTCCGGCCCTCAGACCCAAGAGACCCCCGGCTCCTGTCAGCGCCCCCCGTGTCAAAGGGGCCCTGACGTGAAGGGACTCGTGTGGAGGGGCTTGCGCGTCCAACGCCTGAGGAGAAGGACGGACGCCGCCGCCGGCCACACCACAGGGGGCTCGGGGCTTGCGGGGGGTGGGGCGCCTGCACCCCTCGCACCCCTCACGGCGCGCCCCTCTCGCGCGCCTTCTCACCCCCTCACGGATGCGATGCGTCGCCTCCCTCCCCGACGCGGCTCCCACCTTCACGCGAGGCGCCTCGCCGTGCTGAGAGGGTGAGGGGAGCACCCTCGGGCGCTCTCGGTGCCCGTAGTCCGCACGTTGAGGGGGTCGTCGGGAAGATCCGTGTGGACAGTGCCGGACGCTGCTGTCCAGCTCTCTGGCTCCTGCTTCTGGCCCGGGAGTGTTTTCTTTCTTCCTTCCTTCCTTCCTTCCTTCCTTCCTTCCTTCCTTCCTTCCTTCCTTCCGTGTTTCCTTCCTTCCTTCCTTCCTTCCTTCCTTCCTTCCTTCCTTCCTTCCTTCCTTCCTTCCTTCCCCTTTGGGGTCACAGCCCGCGATGCACAGGGGTTACTCCTGGTTCTGTGCTCAGGAATCACTCCTGGCGGTGCTCGGGGACCATATGAGATGCTTGGGATTGTTGTTTTTTTTTTTTTTCCTTTTTGGGTCACACCCGGCATTGCACAGGGGTTACTCCTGGCTCTGCACTCAGGAATTACCCCTGGTGGTGCTCGGGGGACCCTATGGGATGCTGGGAGTCGAACCCGGGTCGACCACGTGCAAGGCAAACAACCCTGCCCGCTGTGCTATCGCTCCAGCCCCTGGGCGTGTTTTCTTTTTCTTTTATTTTTCTTCCCCCCCCCTTTTTTTTTCTTTTTGAGTCACACCCGGAGATGCACAGGGGTTCCTCCTGGCTCTGCACTCAGGAATGACTCCTGGCGGTCCTTGGGGGACCCTATGGGATGCTGGGAATCGAACCCCAGCCGGCCGCCTGCGTGCGGGGCAAACGCCCTCCCCTCTTGACAGGTGTGCGCGCCGTCCCTCCTCAGGGGCTGCCGTGTTTGTCACCCGGTGGGAACCGAGCCCTGCCCTGCCTGCCGCCCCTCTCATACCTGCACGTGCCACCACCGCAAGGGACAAGAGCACCTTGACCTGCAGCCTGAGTGTCAGGGCGGTGACGCCCCTGCTGGCGCCGGGATGGGGGATTCGGCGCTCAGCCCCCTGCTTTACCATGTGTGTGTGTGTGTGTGTGTGTGTTTGAGGCAGGGCTTGGAGCACACCTGGAACAAAGACAACACCGATTTTACTTGACTGTCGCTGGGGGGGTGCATTCTCGAGTGCTTTCAGACACTGTTCTCAGAGCTCTGTGCTTAGGAGTGTTCCCTCCACCGTGGGGCTCCGCTCCGTGCTCCCACGTTGCACAGGAGGGGAAAGAAGGTGCTCAGGGTCAGACGCGCTGGGCAGGTGGGAGAGCTCGGGGGTCTGACCTCAGGGCCTGCGCCCTCACTCCTGCACTCCAGCTGTCCCTCCCAGGGGCCAGGGATGGCTGCCAGGTTTCTCTCCTCAAAGAAGGTCCTGTGTGCCTTCTGGCTTCATGAATAGGAACTACTTTAGAGACAGAGCTGGAAAGGAAGAATAATGGTTTTGTTTTGACTTCTGCCTAAGACGCGCGTTGGGACAATTCATCACTGCTTGGCTCTGTCTTGTGGGGAGTTTTTTTTTTTTCTCCAACTCTTGTAGAGGAGCCTGTGAATGAATGAATGAATGAATGGGCCAGATGCTACTGAAACAAAACATTGACTTACGTTTTATTTTTTAATAGCCTATTCTTAAATGTGGGCAGCTGATGCTGTATATATTCACTGCAGAAAAATTAGAATTTAAGGGGGTGTTGCTGGAGTATACAGGAGCTGAGGCATTTGCTGCTGCCGCTGCTGTGAGTCTGGTTCAAATCTCCCGCCACCTGTACGCCTCTGAATACTGCCAGGGATTACTCCTGAGCACAGAGCCAGGAATAGGAATAGCCCCTGAGTACTGCAGGGGTGACCCAACACCTCCTCCCAAATTTAGGTGACCACACATGGCTGAGAGATTTGTTATCACGATGTTGGATTTATTCCTGAGCTCTGGATGGAGTTCTTGAGCATGAAAGATTTGCATATATAATGCAAGGCAAAAATAAGTCAACCGTAAATAAAACTCATACGCCTGGGTCCTGAGAGAGAGTACCCCAGGTAGGGTGCTTGCTTTGCATATGCCTGACCCGTGTTCGATCCCTGACACTTCATATGATTCTCCAAGGCCTGCTAAGAGTGATCCCCTGAATGCAGAGGCAGGGATAAGCCCTGAGCACCAATAGGTATGGCAAAATAACAACGGCACACACACACACACACACACACACACACACAAATAAATAAATAAATAAAAACCCCAACAGAAACAAGAAAAAAAAAAACCCTCAGATACTTAAGCAATTATTGTTTATTCTACAGCTTAAGTAGGTGGATCTGGGTCCATCCCCAATATCCAGGCCTCTCCTTTACCAGTGTACAGTGTCACTTACTCTGCTCCCGATGCCCAGTCTGAATTGCATCCTGGCCTGGCCCTGACCCTGCACCATTGGCCTGCTGACAGTGTGTAATATCCTGGTCCTGCCCCTGCATGTTCTCCCTCCAGTGTATGAGTTCTGGAATGTTCAGCCAGGGCCCTATAATCTGGGTTTCTGTGCTGGGCCCTGTTATTCTCTAATCTGTCTTAACCTCTCTAGGGCCATAGGCCGTTGACTTCTTGTCCATGTGTGTATACTTTGGGTTTTCTTTCTCTTTTTTTGTTTTAGGCCTCACCCAGCAATCCTCAGGGCTTACTCTGGCTCTGTGTTCAGGGATTAGTTTTGGCTCAGAGAGACCGTAGGGGATGCTGGGAATCATACCAGCTTTATGCAAGGCAAGCCTCTTCCCCCTGTATTATCTATTCTGCCCCTGGGTTTGCCATATATAAGCTCATGTCATCTGTGAGCCATTTATTTTACTTCTTCCTTTCAAGTATGAATGCCTTTTATTTATTATTCTTGCCTAATCTCTCTGGCTAAGACTCCCAGTATTTTGTTGACTGGACATGGTGAAATTACCTTATTTCAGCTCTTAGATTAGAAATGTCATCTCTCTTAAGAGTCACTATGTTTGGGGGCTGGAGGGATAGCACAGTGGCAGTGGGTAGGGTGTTTGCCTTGCATGCGGCTGACCCGGGTTTGATTCCCAGCATCCCATATGGTCCCCTGAACACTGAGCACCACCAGGAGTAATTTCTGAGTACATGAGCCAGGAGTAACCCCTATGCATTGCCAGGTTTGACCCAAAAAGCAAAAAAAAAAAAAAAGAGTTATTATGTTTGCTCAAGGTTTTCATAAATAGCCTTTTTTTTAGTTTTCTTCTTTTACTATTTCCTATAAGTTTGAACATTCCACATATAAATGACACCATGTAGTTTCTGTCTTTCTCTGACTTATTTTAC